TCCCCTTGCCTTTTCTTCTTGATCTGCATTTCCAGAACAATCTTTGGTAATAATGCTGTATTAGATAATAATCACAGGATTAGATAAACATCAAGCAAAGTGTAGCTGGAGTCTTACCCAGATTGAACTCTGGACCCCAGACCCAGAAATGAAGGCCATCAATAGCTTCTCTCTTGAGAAAGCCTGACTGGCCTTGTTTAAAAGTTGAGGAGGTGGAGTGGATTCTGGCATTCTCTGGAGGTTTCTGCCCTGACGTAAGTCTGGAGTAATAGGTCGGGCCTTGCTGACAAAAGGCCTGGAGACCTGACCTTAAATTTTTGTTTCTTTAGTCCTTTCTATTGTCCCTCTTCCTTGAAACCACAGCCAGGAGGCCTCAAATCTTTCATTCTCCTTTCCCATCTTTGTTTATTGCATTTTATGGAATTAGCATCATCACTCCTTTCATCTCATGTCCTCATTTTACACAGAAGGAAACATCCAGTGAGAAGTTTTTTGGGTTAGTGCCCAAGATCACATGGGTGTTTGTCAGTGAGTGACTGCCACAAACAGACCAAGGGCCACCTATATTTAGCCAAGGCTTTTTTGAAGGTTGGGGGGGGGGGTGTGTTGAGGAGGGGCATAAAACCACTGGCTAAAATGGATTTGTCCTGTTTTACCTGAGTCATTAGGCCCAGATGAAAACTAGGTTTCAGACTGAAGTGATGCAGGATATGGAAGCAGCAGTGTAGGGAGCAACTGTCATCAGACATTCTGAAATTAAAGGGAACAGAGATGTAGGCCAGAGAAGAGGTGCCTTGAAAAAAGTTTTATGTAAAAGGGATCCTTCAAGGAGTTGAGGAGAGGGCACATAATCAAATGTATTATTAATGTGCCTTGAAAAAAGTTTTTTTTTTTTTTTAAAGATTTTATTTATTTATTCATGAGAGACACAGAGAGAGAGGCAGAGACACAGGCAGAGGAAGAAGCAGGCTCCATGCAGGGAGCCTGATGTGGGACTTGATCTCAGGTCTCCAGGATCATGCCCTGGGCTGAAGGCGGTGCTAAACCACTGAGCCACCAGAGCTGCCCCCAAAAAAACAATTTTTAAGGGATCATTCAAGGAGTTGAGGAAAGGGCACATAATCAAATGTATTATTAATATTCTCACCAAAGAACATGGTGATTTGGGGCCCACTTATTTAAATAAACACTGAGAAAAGAAGGGACTTGGGACGCCTGTCTGGCTCAGTGGTTCAGCATCTGCCTTCGGCTCAGGTTGTGATCCTGGGGACCTGGGATGGAGTTCCACATTGGGCTCCCTGCAGGGAGCCTGCTTCGCCTTCTGCCAGTGTCTCTGCTTCTCTAGGTGTCTCTCATGAATAAATAAATAAAATCTTAAAAAAAAAAAAAAGAAGGGGTTTACTATATATTTATTTTTATTTTTTTTTTTATTTTTACGATAGTCATACAGAGAGAGAGAGGCAGAGACACAGGCAGAGGGAGAAGCAGGCTCCATGCACAGGGAGCCCGACGTGGGATTCGATCCCGGGTCTCCAGGATCGCGCCCTGGGCCAAAGGCAGGTGCCAAACCGCTGCGCCACCCAGGGATCCCGGGGTTTACTATATAAAGAGAAGGAATGAGAATATTTTAGAGACAGCAAAGCTCTCTTTGTTAAACAAAACCTCGCAGAGATGAAATCATAAATGTTTGGACCTACACAGTAATAAAAACAGGACTTAGCACCCATAATCTCCTCCAAAGTGTATCATTCACTTACTGTTAAAAAAATTACTCTCTGGTCTTGGCAAGTCACCTTTCCACACAACAGATTCCCGAGTGCTGACCTTCTTTCAATTCTCTCTTTCTTTCCCCAAACCCATAGAGAATTAATTAAATAATACACAGCCATTTTAACCCTATGCGGAAAATGCTATCTGTAAGAGAATGGAGATGACTAGCTTTACAACACTGACAGTTATTTAAAGCACTTTAAAGCTCTTCATGTCATGAGCTCCAGAGTGGGAGAGCAAGGATGGCAGAGGAGGTCCCCCAGTCCTTCCTCAGCCCTGGAGAAAACTGTAGAAGAGACTGCCAGAGAGAGGGCCTGGGGGCGGGGAGGAGGAAGGGAGGAAGCTCCAGGTCAGTTTCTGGGATTCAAGAATAGGTTCTGGAAAAAAAAAAAAAAAAAAGAATAGCTTCTGGTACTAATTAGCTGTCAGATCACAAACTCCCCAGGTTCCCAGGTCCCTGTTTGTAAAATGAGGTGACCCGACTAATTTCTCCTCTTTCCAGCGCTAAAATCTCACTAAAAATTTTCCGACCCAGAGCAAAACATCAAGCCTGTGTCTGAAGGTTACCATCTGCATCGCAGTAATATTCCACCCTTAAAGAGAAAGTGGGGAAGAACAATAAACTCCAACACCTTTGCCAGGGGTCACAGGGGTGGGCAAAGGTGGGAGGGTGTCAGTACCTTCGTCCCCCACGCCCCCTTCTGCTCCCCGACACCTTCATGATAACTACGGTCATTTACAGGAGCCAAAGGGGTTTCATAAACAGAAACTGTATCAGGTTCCTGCAATTCCCCGTCACTACTCAGATGCCACTCTACCCTACACCTTGTCCCCGAATTCCATCTTTCCCTCTCCGAATTCCCTGCCTAGAGACCGGCCATCGTGCAGGTTCCACGGTAAAGGCCCTGAGGTAAGAGGTCGGGTGTCAGCCCCTGTCCAGGGCTCCAGGCTTTAAACCCGAGTCCTGGAGTCCCGGGATTTAGTCCCACATCAGGTTCCCCTGCATGGAGCCTGCTTCTCCCTCTGCCTGTGTCTCTGCCTCTCTCTCTGTCTCTCATGAATAAAATCTTAAAAACAAAACAAAACCTGAGTCCCACAGCTCCTCTTTCTGCTTCAGTTTCTTTTCCTGAATACAAGGCAGCTGCCAAGTCAGTTTCTGAGACTCTTCCACCTCGCGCATTATACACTAATAAGACCCGGTGACATGCAAACACCCAAAGTGTGTTACAATAAGCAAACAGCATTTGATAATTCCAAGGGGATCCTGTGCGAATTTTCAATTAACGGATGGCTTTGATACAACCTAGAAGAATGACAAAGGGCAGGAAAAGGGAAGGAAGGGCGGACCCCGGTAGCAAACAGGAAGGAAGGAGGGAGGGACAACAGCTGCCCCAGGGGAGTAAGAGCTGCCAGAGTGTGGAGAAAGAGCGGAGGGGCGGCCGCAAAGCCCCCACCTCCCCAACCCTGCTGCCCCTCCCCCGCCCCGCCAACCTCTGGCACAAACACACGGTCTGGGGGCGGGGCGCGCATGCGCACTGGCGCCCTGCGACAACCGCCACCGCTCCCGGAGGCGGCCAGGACCGGCTGGAGCCGGTTAGAGCCGGCGGTGCCCGCCCGCGAGCCGGCGCCTCACAAGGGGAGGAGGCGGCTCACGGCTCGCGTATCCCTGCGCCGGGCGGGTGCGGGGTGCGCGCCGAGCCGTGCCCTTCCCCCCAGCCTTTGTCTCCAGCCTGCAGCTGCGGCACCGTTCAGGTCTGCGGGCCAGCCCCTGCCCCCAGCCCTCCCCGCGGCCCCTGCAGCGCCCCCGCGGGGTCTCGACCTGGAGCAGAGCTTGGCCGAGGGGAGCCGAAGAACACGCGCCCTCTCCCCCCCCACACGTCCCACCTCGCCCGGTTCTCCGCGCAGCCGCAGTGGCCCCGTGGAAACGTGTACGGGAAGCCCCTAGCGCTATTGCTCCCAATTTCTCCGGCCTCGCTCGGGGTTCACGGTCTTGCCGCCCCGGGAAACGAGATTTTTCTCAGTCTTTGGCACGCGATGCTTAGCTTCCCCTTTAGTTGGGAAATTCCAGGGGGTGCTTTGAAAGCAAAACTGCTCAAATTGTACAGAAAGGACGGGCTTTGGGTTTGGTGAAGAGCTTTTTCCCTTTTAGCTCCCGTTGTAAAAACCTTGGAAGTGGAGCCAAGCCCGAGAGAATACAGATTCTAAAGCACAAACTTAGAAAAGCACACTCCTAAGCAGTTTCACGAATGTCTGAGAACGTTCCCGGACGGGCTGCCCAAGGTCGTTTCCTCTTTAGAAGAAAAGCCTTTGGCGTTTGCGGATCAAAGAGGACACGTAAAACTTGGCTTTGACAGTTTTGAATTTTGGTAACTTTGACGAGAAGCTTGGAAGCTCAGAAACGGTTCACATTTGGGCAGAACAAAAAGTGTGGGCATGATATTAAAAAAGGCAGAGATGTGGGGGGTCGAGCTAGCATTTAGGGACCCCAAAGCCGGGACCACTGAGCCCGTGAAGTAACACTAGCCCCCCCCCCCCCCCCCCCGGTGTTGGTTCGGACGCAGGAGGCAGCCCTGCCCCGGAACTACTTGAGACATTTTCTAGAAGTGGATTTCCACCTTTAGTGGAATTCTTAAGCAGATAACCCGGACCGCCCGGGCTTCTCCAATAACAGGGTAATCAGAATGTCGCGTCTAACCTGAGAACCGACTGGCAGGACCCGAGGCTATTTGGGGGACAAACGGACACTTTGCCGCAGCTAAGATGGCTGCCATCTCTTGACGAGGCTGAGGCTCGGTTACATAATGGAAATAAAAGGCTGTCAACAAACCCATTCAACCGTCCTTCATAAAGCACTTCATAGTATCTACTGTACTGCCAAGAAAACATGAGGTATTTTTAAAGCTACTAAAAAAATTCCTAAGTAATGGTTCTGAGTTTAGGGAAAGCTGTTTGATCTACTTAAATGTGACTTTTGTGTCTAAGTCTTCAGGTCAAATCTACTTGCTAGTAAGTTTTGACTATTTCTGGGTACACGGGGGGGGGGGGGTAATCAAGTTGCCTGAACTGTCACGAAAACTCCAGAAAGTCTTGTAAAACTAGGTTCTATTTTTAACCCGGCCATGGAACTATTTTTGCTTCCCTCACAAAGGCGGCGGAGGGTTATTGAAATCGCGGTGTGAGCTGTCTTTCGTCTATAAATATGCCTCTCCCGGGTTCTGCTGCAGGCTTTCAGGCAGCGAGCGCAGAGGCGGCTGGTGAGGGAGGAGGGACTGCTTAAGGCGACAGCAGATAAGTTTTTCTTAAAAGAAAAAAAAAGCTAGGAATTGAAGCAATCTTTAGGAAATGTAAATAGGGATAATACTTCTTGAGATATTGCTTAGCATTAAACTCGTAGAGTAGTATTGTAATCTTAAAAAGAACTTAAAAGGAAAACCATGAAGATTTTAAAGAGTAGCTTGAGAAAGAAAATGCTCTTTGTAGAAAAAGACGGAGGTTAAGAGATGAAGCTTAATGGAGTGGAGAAAACCCTAATTTTAGAAGAATTGTTGAGAGGACTTCAAAGTCCAGGATTCAATAAGTCCTTAAATCTGAGGGCAGCCTTTCAGGTTGTCGTTGAAATGTAAATGACCTAAATAGAGCCTAAATGTTTTAGAAAGACCGGTTGTAGATGGTAAAGATTAAAAGTTTGTCTTTTAAAAAGCTTAACTTGAAGGTGATTTAAGAGCCCTTCAAATTCATGGGTTAGTTATTGCGTCATTTGACACCTAGATCTTAAGCTATTACTTGCTAAAACTTGCAAATATTAATTAGTGGTAGGATGAAAATTTGAAGAGATTAGAAAATTGGAGAACTCGCAAGACCGAAGTACAGGAAGGTGAAGATTTAAAAGACCAGAAGTAAAGGTGAAGAAAATACTTAGAGAAGATAGGAAAATTGGAAGAAAAATTACACGCCTTTTAGAAGACAAAAATAATTTAAACCTCGAAGGCAGGAAGCAGAAGAAAAAATATTTAGAGAAGAACAAGGCAACAAGGTCTCAGATACAAATTGAGAAAGCCAGAAATTGGAAACGAGGTGGAAAATAAGGTCAGGGAAAGTACATCAGGTAGAAAATGAAAAGCTAGGACAACCGCTGAATACAGGCACATAAGATAGACGTCAAAAAGAAGATAGAGAAGTTTAAAGCCAAAAAATTGGAGAAAGTAAGAACAGGAAAACTAAGAATTTTTAAGTAGTTCTGGAATCTTTCCAAAAGCCCATGAATTTAATTTCTGGTGCAGAAGCTAGATTTGAGGGTGTTAAAACTACTGTAGACCGAGACCCAGCTTAGCCCAGGAGCTAGAAGGGAAAGATAAAAATCAGATTTACAGCGTTTGCTACCAAAAAGACTTAAGTAGAATATTTTTGGAGTTAAAAATGTGAGGGTCTTTAAATATGGTAGCTTTTAGTGTTCTTGGAGAATTTAAAGAACTTTCGTAACTGAAGTAATGCAAGATCAAGAATAACTACCAACTTAACATTCTCCCATTGGACTTTGAGCTAAGATGGTTTTTTAAATCCTGAGGACTAGCGTTAATTGGCAGCCGACCCAGGTACTACGCAGAAGTGGATTCAGTGAATCTAGGAAGACAGGAGCGGCAGACAGGATTCCAGGAGCCAGTGTTGGTGAAGCTAGGACTGAGGAGCGAGCTGCAGTTCGTGGTGAAGATAGGAAGGAAGGCGAAGTCCGGGAGCCAGTGCGGTTGGTGAAGGAAGGAAGCTAGGAAGAAAGAAGGAGCCCTAACGATTTGGAGGTGAAGCTAGGAGAGGATTCCAGAAAGGAGGAGCCAGTGCGATGTGGTGATGAAGCTAGCGAGCAGCTTGGCAGCTTGGCTTGGCGACCACGCGGAGGCGGCGAACAGGCGCTGTGGAGGCTAGATAGAGGATCCTAGAGCAGCATCCCAGTGTGCGAGGCCCCAGGGAGGACAAGTGGTGTGGTAAAAATACCAGAGATGGGCTAACGTGGCTTTGTAACTTCAGTATGGTAACGTTTATTTGCTTTTCTAATGGTAACGGGGGAATTGTGGTACTCAAGCGCTAAGGGATTTATGGGGGTGTAGGCCGATTTCCGGGTGTCGTAGGTTTCTCTTTTTCAGGCTTGTTTTCTCATCTTGTCTGAAGCTTTTGAGGGCAGACTTCCAAGGCCTGGAGGAATGGTAGATGGCAAGTTTTTTTGTTTTGTTTTTAACCAATTTGAGGGAAACCAAATGAATTTGGTAGATCAACCTTGAGACAAAATTCTGGCAAGTTTTGTAAGAAGTTTTTAGCTTGGGGTAATGAAGCCTTTCAGTTTTTTGAATAGATGACGTATTCTTCCTTCACCCTGTATTCAAGTTTTCTAAATGTGGAGTTTGGCTGTGTTTGGGGGGGAAAGTTTTTTGTGGGGATGGGGGCGCAAAAATATGTTTTGAGTTCTTTTCCCCTTAGGTCTGCCTAGAGTCTCAAAGGCAAATGACTCAAGGTAACAGAAAAAAGAAAATCCAGTATCAGGATAATCAGAACACCACAGGTTTACAGTTCTAGAAACTAGAGCACGAGCAGCTCTCACTTTTGAGTTCTGTGGCGGAGCTGTCCATTGGAGAAATGGCTGGTAGTTATTGTTTTTCCACTTCTTCATCAGATATTTTAATACATAACCCTTTAAACTTGTTACATTTACTTAACTTTGGGGTGGTCTTAACAGGGAAGAGGGTTGGGGGAGAAAATTTTCTTTCTAAGATTTTCCACAGATGCTATAGTACTATTGACAAACTGGGTTAGAGAAGGATTGTACTGCTATGCTGTTGGCACGAACACCTTCAGGGATTGGAGCTGCTTTTTTCCTTGGAAGAGTATTCCCAGTTGAAGCTGAAATGGTACAGCACAGTGCAGCTTTGGTTCATACTCAGTCTTCTCAGGAGCACTTCAGAAGAGCTTGACTAGGCCAGATGTTGAAGTTAAGTTTTCAAGTAATGTGATCTTTAACTTTTATTAAAGGGGAGGGGCAAATTTTGGCAATTGATAGTTGGCAGTGGCCTGTTAATGGTTGGGATTGGGGAGGGTTGGGGGTTAGGTAATTGTTTAGTTTATGATTTCAGATAACTCATGCCCGAGAACTTAAATACTTAGGATGGAAAAACTAAAGAAATCTCAACTTCCAAGTTGGCAAGTAACTCCCAATCCTCTAGTTTTTGTTTTCCCCCAATTTTTGAATTGGGCAGCTGGGGAAGTTCATGAAGATCCACTGGATTCATAGTGTAAGGCCTGGGGAAGGAAAGTATAGGACTGGGGGTTGGTCTAGCCCACTGGCTGACTTAGATATCATCTTGGGAATTTTTTAAAAAATGGCTAAAGTTGTTTGGATATGGTAGTGTGTGGTTCTCTTTTGGAATTTTTTTCAGGTGATTTAATATAACTTAATACTACTATAGGAGCTTCAGAGCAAAGGAAGTGGCTTAATGATCCTGAAGGGATTTCTTCCTGGTGGTAGCTTTTATATTATCAAGTAAGATTCTATTTTCAGTTGTGTATAAGCAAATTTCTTTTCTCTAGTGTAGGAAAAGTATTTTTCCATTAACTGCAAACAAGATGTTAAGGTATGCTTCAAAATTACTGTAAATTGTATATTTTAATCATTTCTGATAAAAAAGGGGGTGGGGTTTGTGGATGAGGGCGGGGAAACCTTTTTGTTTTCTGTAGACTTTTTTCAGATAACTTCTGAGTCATAACCAGCCTGGCAAATACGATGACCTAGATGGAGAGGGAACAGCATCTTGGTGAATGATGATAAGTAAAGGCAGAAAAGATTATGTTTCATACCTCCATTGGGGAAAAAAGCATAACCCTGAGATCCTTAACTACTGATGAACGCATTATCTGCATATGCAAAAAAAATTAAGCAAGTGAAACTACCAATTTAAAGTTAATGGAATCTACCATTTAAAAGTTATGGCCTATCAAGCTATTCCCACACACAAAAAGAATTGATGAGCCGTAATATAATGAATTGATGAGAAATAACAACGAAGATCAAATAACCATCTCAAAATACTGCTTTTACAAAAGCAGAATAAAACAAAATGAAAAATGGTAAAATCAACATTAATCCTGGAATAAAAGAAGCTGAAATAATTCAGAGTGGGATCAAATGGATTGAGAGAAGGCTGTGCTGTTTGCCAATCTTTCGTTTGCCTCAGACAGGTTTCTCTTCATTATCAGAAGAGTTGCTTCATTTCATCTGGGAGCAGAAAACAGCAGGCAGCTGTTAACAGATAAGTTTAATTTGAATCTGCAGTATTGCATGTTAGGGATAAGTGCTTATTTTTAATAGAACTGTGAAGGTCTTAAGTATTGAACTTGGCTGTTTCCTGATCCTTTCCTTAGAGGATTTCAGGATTGTGGGGAATTTTCCCATCTAGCCTTTTAAAATTAGGACTTACTGTGGGCTTCCATGATGGGGTAGCACACCTCGTTCAGAGGCAAGTAATTCCTTAAAGGCTTTGAAGAGTCGTAGTGCCTTAATCATAAGGCAATGTTGATAAAACTAAGAAAATTGAATCTCTTAAATTCTACAAAAGGCTAGCATATTGTGCTGTTAAGAATCCGATGTTGTTAATCTTGGTAAAACTTAAGTTTTGTGTTGTGATGTACGTTGTATAGAAAACATTAAATACTTCAAAATAAAACATTTTAATCTAGAGAATGTATGCTTTTAGAAAGCTGTCTCCTCATTTAAATAAAGTATTTGTTTGTTTGTAGTTAGTGTTGGGCAATCTTGGGGGGGATTCTTCTCTAATCTTTCAGAAGCTTTGTCTGCGAACACTCTTTAATGGACAAGATCAGGAATTGAGCGGAAGAACGAATTTAACTTTAAGGCAGGAAAAACATTTTATCCTTCGTAAAGTGATGAGCATTTAATAATTCCAGGCACATGGCAATAGAGGCCCTCTAAATAAGGAATAAATACCTCTTAGACAGGTGGGAGATTATGATCAGAATAACAGGTAACTACACCTACACTATTTCCAGAAAGTCAGGGGTCTCTAAATTTGACAGTGGTAGAGTAATAAAATACTGTCAACTTTTCCAGAGTTGCATGTGAACTTTAAATGCTTCTAATCATCTCATCTGATGTTAGTGTTGACACAACTGGCCTTTTCATATAGGTACTGGGGTGGGGGGCATGTGGGTTTTTAAAGAATTTTCTTTGCAGAGGCTTCATTTCATCCTTCATGAAGCTGTTCAGGATTTTGACTTGCATATAAGCGCTTGGCTCTGCCTTCTGTTCTAGTGAGTGTGTGAGACCTTGCAGTGTATCAGCATAATATTCAAGTAAACTTTCCCCTGATTTTTGTAGGGGAGGAGGGGGAGGGCCTTACTTGTTTTAGCTTTTTTTTTTTTACAGACCACACAGAGAATGCAGTTGTCTTGACCTCAGGTCTGTCTGTTCTGTTGGCAAGTAATGCAGTACTGTTCTGATCTGCTGCTATTAGAATGCATTGTGAAACGACTGGAGTATGATTAAAAGTTGTGTTCCCCCAATGCTTGGAGTAGTGATTGTTGAAGGAAATCCAGCTGAGTGATAAAGGCTGAGTGTTGAGGAAATTTCTGCAGCTTTTAATCATTCGTGTTTGTGATTGAAGCCAAGTACCTTTTGCTGTGCTTCTTTAGGTAAAATGCTTTTTGTTCACTTCTGGTAGGGGGGTGGGGAGGGTACTGAAGCCTTTAGTCTTTTCCAGATGCACCTTAAAATCAGTGACAAGAAATAAATTCCAAACAAGCAACAGCCTTCAAGAAATTTAACTGGCAAGTGGAAACGTTTTATCAGTTCAGTGGTCTTAGTGCATTTTCTTTGTGTGGGTTTCTCTCTCCCCTCCCTTGGTCTTAATTCTTACACACAGGAACATTCAAAACAGCAGACGTATGCGAAGGGCCAGAGAAGCCAGACCAGTAAGGAAAAAAAATAGCTTATTTACTTTAAATAAACAGTCCATTTTAAATGTGGGGATTGGGAACCACTAGTTCTTTCAGATGGTATTCTTCAGACTATAGAAGGAGCTTCCAGTTGAATTCACCAGTGGACAAAATGAGGACAACAGGTGAACATGCTTTTTTCTATGTTTACATACCAAGTCAGATCCGTTATGAATAAGTAATTTAGTGTTAAATAGACTTTCAGCTTTATGCTGGAATAAATAGCATGTGAGCAGCTGTTGTTGGCCTGGGGGTGGAGGGGTAAGGTGGGCGCTAAGCCTTTTTTTAAGATTTTTCAGGTACCCCTCTAAAGGCACCGAAGGCTTAAGTAGGACAACCATGGAGCCTTCCTGTGGCAAGAGAGACAACAAAGCGCTATTACACTAAGGTCAATAAAAATGGTGTCAGCCTCCTAACCCCAGCTTCTGTTAGAAATGAGGACTTGCCTCAACACTTGGCAGACATGCACTGAGGCTCTCTTCGGGGAACGGAGCATCTAAAGGAATGTTTTGAGTACCTTCTGTACCCCTGGGCTTGTCCTGTCCTGACAATTATGCTGCTTTTATAGCAGCTATTTATTTAAAAAGCCCATACCTCAAGTGATGGTTGAAGGGGAGGGAAATGGGGAAAGAGGGCAACCACTTTTCCCTAGCTTTTCCAGAAGCCTGTTAAAAAAGCAAGGCCTCCCCACAAGTGACTACTCTGCCACATCGCCACTCCCTGCCTTTGGCCTAGCGCAGACCCTTCACCCCTCACCTCGATGCTGCCAGTAGCTTGGATCCTTGAGGGCATGACCCCTAATCGGTTTCAAGGTAACAGTGGTGCTGAGGTCTTCTGGTGGGTTGCACTACTAGAAAAGGCCATTAATTTGCCTGCAAATGCTTAAATGTTATTAAACCACGACTAAATATTATAACACTGTTATCTTGTGGTTAGAACACTTAAGCCAGTGAATGGAGGATAATGTTTGAGACTGTAATGTTGGGTGGGAACATAGACCTTACAAATCAGAGATAGGCATTTTAGTTTTGAGGATTGTTGGGGTGGGATTGCAAAAATTCTCTGCTAAGACTTTTTCAGGTGAACATAAGAGACTTGGCTAAGCTAGCATCTTAGCTGAAGCAGATACTCCAGTGTTCTTCAGTAGGGTTGTAAAGGTTTTTCTTTTCCTGAGAAAACAAATTTTTGTTTTCTCAGGTTTTGCTTTTTAGCCTTTTCCTAGCTTAAAAAAAAGCAAAAGATGCTGGTGGTTGGCACTCCTGGATTTCCAGGACAGGGTTCAAATCCTTGCGGTGTCTTTGCTTGAACTATGATCTCTTGTCTTCAGGCCTCCTTCCATTTCCTCTTTTTAGATGTTAGGCTTTGGGATTTGGGGGAGATGGAAAAACACTTCGTGGAATTCAGCCAGAAACCTAAATCTGTTTTTATTTATGTGGGAACCTAATGATAGGATTATCATCCTATCCAGGATTGGAACCTAATGATAACTGCCTTGTCTCTTTAATTTTCAGGTGGTCCCCATGCATCTAGTGTTTGGAGAAGACTTCCTATGGAAAACTTTAAAAATTCATATTAATAAAAAAAAATTAAAGCTCTTCATTGGTGTGATTCTTTTGTGTATAAACCAAACTCCTGGGGCAGCCCGGGTGGCTCAGTGGTTTGGCGCCGCCTTCGGCCCCGGGCATGATCCTGGAGTCTCGGATAAGTCCCACGTCCCACTCCCTGCATGGAGCCTGCTTCTCCCCTGCCTGTGTCTCTGCCTCTCATCTGTCTTTCATGAACAAATCTTAAACTCCTGTCCATCATGGGTAGCTGAGGGAAGATAGGGTGTTTTGTGGGGAGGTTCTCCATCTTGTTTTGCTGGTTACCATTATATATAGCATGATCTTCAGGTAGGGAGAGGGACTTGGAAAGTGGCATAGGGTCAGCAACCTAAAGGATCCAGTAACTTTCCCCATAGGAAAGCTTGCAACTACTGTCTAGCAGTTGGTGAGCGGGGCCACAGCATGGAGAAATAGGTGGGGGGGCACACCGATTTCCATTGCTTCTGTGAAAACCCTTTGCAGGCCTAGGGGCACTGCCCCTAAGTGCTAATAAAGACCAGTGCTGTGGGGTCTCTGAAGTTTTGGGCTGATAACGTCCTTAATCCTTGTCAGTGCCTCAAACAAATTGGTCATTGGGCCCTGTTCTGTGGAATGGCCTGGATACCTCGTGATCTTGCCTTGGTTGCAACTGAAATGTTGAGATCCTCGCATGTACATATACTCTCTAAATGAAATACTTGTCTTACCTGGTGACAATCCCTGAGGTGTCCCTGCTTTCTACTCTCAAGTGACCCTATTGCCTGAAGGAGAGGCTCATTCCACCCAGCCAGGTTTAGAAGAGTGGGGAACCCAGGTCTAAAGAGTTAACACCCAGCAGAGGCTTCCCATCGTGGGTCACCTGCTGGCCACACTCAGCCCCGTGAAGGAGGCCTCAGGGAACAGAACTCTTCTACATTACTGTACTCACAGCTCAGGAAGGTGTTACAAGTGGAGAAGCAGGCTTTGGGTCCCTGCCATGGCTGTGGGGCTGGGATTTGATTCCTGGTCTGGTAACACTTCAACTCCTGCTTTTTTCAGCTCATGAACATCTGACATGAAGCCACAGTCCAGATAGGTCAGCAGACCAGCCTCCAACCTACCCATCCTGTGCAGGCAGGGAGACTTTTTCTTTTCTTGAAGGGTTGCATCCGAAATAGAGGGAGAGGATAGAGGGAAGCTGAACCATGGTTCCCTGAGCTTGATTACGTGCCTGTTCTGAATTGCCGTCTTTTTTTTTTTTTAATTTTTATTTTTTTATGATAGTCACAGAGAGAGAGAGGCAGAGACACAGGCAGAGGGAGAGGCAGGCTCCATGCACCGGAAGCCCGACGTGGGATTCGATCCCGGGTCTCCAGGATCGCGCCCTGGGCCAAAGGCAGGCGCCAAACCGCTGCGCCACCCAGGGATCCCCGAATTGCCGTCTTAATGTCTTTTGGAGAAAGGTCTTCGATGTTTTTCCAGAGTTGAAAGGCTCCCTAGAAGCACAAGACTTCATTGGAGAGCAAGGTAGTAAGAGAGGAAGGTGTTCTATTTGCTAGGGACTACATGGCTCCTAATGTTGAGCAGATTTTAAATTGTCCAGGATTGGAAATGTAAAGACCAGACACGGGGTTAGCTAACCGGAAGATAGAAAAGCAGGCCGGAAGCTACTTCTTACCCTTTAAGCACAAAAAGGGAACTCAGAAGACGCCAACATAAAATTCTCCCAAAGATTATGTGCAAGTTAAGGGGCTGGGTCATAATAACAGACAAACCATAGGTATTTATATAACCCTTCAAGCTGTACAAAGGGCTCATACCAGTTGTTTTGGATTTGCTAATCCTAGTAGTGGCTAAAACAAACCTGAATTCAAGTGGTAGCTCCACATTTCCCAGCCTCACAAGCTTCCCCTCAGGCCTCCCAGGCCTAGGACCCAAGCAGCGGATTTCTGACTTCAGTACAGGGGTGACAGCTAAGAGAATGAGAGCACTTGGAGGGGTAGGGTTGGATGGGTGGGCTGGGTGGAGGGGGACAAGGTCTATGCTGACCAAGGTGTGGGAGTGTCTATCTGGGTTGTCGATTCAGAAGCCCAGAAAGTCCAGGAGATGTGGCTCTGGCAGATTGGCAAACTTGGGGGGTCACCTGCCCTCTCCAGGCCTTTGTTTTCCTACCAGTTAAATGGGGTTGATGCCATCTGCCTGCCGGCTGTGGTAAGGACGACAAGACACAGTAATAGAACTGGAAACGAATGAACTTTTCCTGCCATCTAGTGAATGAATGTAGCATTGCAGGCATTGTCCTTGGAATACTTCATAACACTTGAACGTTCAACAAACATTTTTGTTGCTGAGTAGTATTCCATTGTATGGATATTTGAGTTATTACTAGTTTTTTGAATTTTTTGAAATTAGGAATAAAGCTACTATAAGCATTTGTGTACAAGTCTGTGTGGACCTATGCTTTCTTTTTCTTGATATGTTTCATGATAGGTATATGAATTGTTTTGTTTTTACAGATTTTATTTATTTGGGGGGTAGAGAGAGCAGGAGTAGAGGGGAGGGGCAGAAGGAGAGAGAGAACCAGACTCTCTGCTGAGCAGTGAGCCAGGTGTAAGGCTCTATCTCAGGACCCCAGGATCATGACCTGAGTTGAAGGCAGTTGCTTAACCAAATGAACCACCCAGGCGCCCGAATTGCATTTTTCTTTTCTTTTTTTTAAAGATTTTATTTATTTATTCATAAGAGACAGAGAGAGAGAGAGAGGCAGAGATCCAGGCAGAGGGAGAAGCAGGCTCCACACAGAGAGCCCAATGCAGGACTCGATCCTGGGTCTCCAGGATCACGCCTTGGGCTGAAGGCGGCACTAAACTGCTGAGCCACCCGGGCTGCCCAAATTGCATTTTTTTTTTTTAAAATTTTTTTTTTAGTTTATTTATGATAGTCACAGAGAGAGAGGCAGAGACACAGGCAGAGGGAGAAGCAGGCTCCATGCACCGGGAGCCCGACGTGGGATTCGATCCCTGGTCTCCAGGATCGCGCCCTGGGCCAAAGGCAGGCGCCAAACCACTGCGCCACCCAGGGATCCCCCAAATTGCATTTTTTAATGAGTATAGATGTTACTCATCTTTTCATGTTCTGACTTGCCACTTAAACATCTTTTTTTGTTAACTGTTTACTCAGGTTTTTTGCCAATGTAGCTATTAGGATGTTTATCTTTTTTAAATTTATTTTTATTTTTATTTTTTTATTTATGATAGGCACACAGTGAGAGAGAGAGGCAGAGACATAGGCAAAGGGAGAAGCAGGCTCCAGGATGTTTATCTTTTTATTGTTGAGTTGTAAGAGCTTTTTTATATACTAGATATGAGTCCTTTGTATGTATGTTTTGAACATATTTCTTTGACTATGTGCTTTGCCTTTTCATTTTTTCTGTCTTCAAAAGGTAAAAGTCTTAATAATAAATAAAGGAATTTCAAATTATGTTGAAAGAAAAAAGCTAGTTTTTAAAAAGTACATGCAATTTGGGGGCGCCGGGGTGGCTCAGTCAGTTGAGTGACCAACTCTTGATTTTGGCTCAGGTCTTTTTTTTTAATTTTTATTTATTTATGAGAGAGAGAGAGAGAGAGAGAGAGAGAGAGAGAGGCAGAGACACAGGCAGAGGGAGAAGCAGGCTCCATGCACCGGGAGCCCGACGTGGGATTCGATCCCGGGTCCCAGGATCGCGCCCTGGGCCAAAAGCAGGCGCCAAACCACTGCACCACCCAGGGATCCCTGGCTCAGGTCTTTTTAAAAAAATTTTTTTATTTATTTATTCATGAGAGATACAGAGTGAGAGGCATATACACAGGCAGAGGGAGAAGCAGGCTTCATGCAGGGAGCCTGACATGGGACTCGATCCCGGGTCTTCAGGATCACGCCCTGGGCTGAAAGCAGTGCTAAACCACTGAGCCACCGGGACTGCCTCTGATTCAGGTCTTGAGGTCGTGGGATTGAGTCCTGCATCAGGGTCTGCATGCTCAGGATGGGGCATACTTTGGATTCTCTCCCTCTCCCTTGGCTCTTCCCCCCATTTGCACTCTCTAAACAAATAAATACAATCTGGGGGGAAAAAGTACACATACTCTCAACTCTATGGTCAACTACTCTTCGACAAAGCAGGAAGGAATATCCAATGGAGGGGCACCTGGGAGGCTCAGCTGGTTAAGGGTCTGCCTTCAGCTCAGGTCATGATCCTGAGGTCCTGAGATCGAGTTCTGCATCGGGCTCCCTGGTGGGCGCCTGCTTCTCCCTCTGCCTGTGTCTTTGCCTCTCTCTCTGTGTCTCTCATGAATAAATTAAAAAAAAATAAGTAAATAAAACAAGACGACATCAGAGAGGGAGACAAACCATGAGAAACTCTCAATCAGGGGCAGCTCAGGTGGCTCAGCGGTTTAGCGCCGCCTTAGGCCCAGGGCCTGATCCTGGAGACCCGGATGGAGTCCCGCGTTGGGCTCCCTGCGTGGGGCCTGCTTCTCCCTTTGCCTGTGTCTTTGCTTCTTTCTCTCTCTGTGTGTCTCTCATGAATAAATAAAATCTTAAAAAAAAACCAACAACTCTCAATCATAGGAAACCAACTGAAGGTCACTGGAGGGGAGAAGGGTGAGGGGACAGGGTAACTGGGGGATGGGCATGAAGGAGGGCATGTGATCTGATGAGCACTGGGTGTTATATAAAACTGATGAGTGATCCCTGGGTGGCTCAGCGGTTTGGCGCCTGCCTTTGGCCCAGGGCAAGATCCTGGGGTCCCTGGATTGAGTCCCACATAGGGCTCCCTGAGGTGAGCCTACTTCTCCCTCTGCCTGTGTCTCTGCCTCTCTCTGTGTGTCTCTCATGAATAAATAAATAAAATATTTTTTTTATTCATGATAGTCACAGAGAGAGAGACAGAGAGGCAGAGACACAGACAGAGGGAGAAGCAGGCTCCATGCAGAGATCCCGACCTGGGATTCGATCCCTGGTCTCCAGGATCGTGCCCCAGGCCAAAGTCAGGCGCC